GGGCCATGTTTCCCTGAGCAGACCTAAGGAGCTCTGTGATAAGCTATAAGCTAGAAACATGGCCATGTAAAAATCCAAAAGTTGACCCTCCAAGTAAGGGCTTACTAGACCTAAAGATCTTTTTCTCTCCAAGCGATGGATGTCACCAGTTGCCCCATCCCAACTTACCAGCAGCCAACAGATGGGCCTCTGGATTCTCACAGATTGGCCCAGAGGAAGAACAGGCCTGAACACCAGGCTATCCAGCAGTTCCATGGCTCATTACTGTGACCCAAAATGCTCCTGTCTATGTATCTCTGAGTGCTGGGCTAACGTGAATCCATTCTTAAGACAATAAGCTGGCCCTATCCACAGAAGCCACCCAGTGTCTAAGCCTGAGGAGATTCCCCTGCTCCCCAAGCCCTGAAGTGAACCACCAGGAAGCCTCTGCAGACCAGAAGCCAACTTGCCATACACCTTGTTTCAAAATTCAGCAATAAGCCTGGAATGGTAACATGAATTTGGAGAGTGACCTCCTGCTCTTGCACTGAGGTGAAACTGCCCTCCACTGGCTTCCTGCAGCAGAGAAGGGGCACCCAAACTCATTGATCTGTGGTGTCCAGTAAGAGAGTTACAACAGAAATTTAACTGCCGCGCTAGTTCCTAGGGAACAAGGACTCTCCTGCCACAGCTCTGATCCTGGGGAAAAGCACAAAGACAGCTAGCTTCAGTGAGACATCTAAACACAAAGGGAGGCCTGTGCTTTCAGCAAACTTCTAATCTTACCAAGGAAAAACAGTGCTGGAATGCCAAGTTACCCACTCTCACTTTGAGTTACATCAGGAATTTAAATATCTATATATATTTTTTTTTATTAATAAAGGCACCTAAAATTCTACCCCATAGTTGTTAGTTGCAACATGATTTTCTTAGAAAGACTCATAAAGAGGAAGAGAATGGAAATCTGAAATTTGATATCTGTAAATTTAAAGGTTGTTAACAACCTATTCTAGAAGTTAATTTTAAGTTCATTTTTTTAATCCTTGAGGCATTTTTCCAAAACAAAATGCAATAATGAAGGTGATGGTCTCAGAACAGCCTACAGGAATCCATCCACCTCTGAAGACAACTGGGGCTTCAGTGGTTTCTTTCATTCTTTTCCCCACCAATGAAGTCACAGTTTTATACACAATTTCCTGCCAAAAGATACAAAGGACTTTTAAATAGAATTTGGCAAGCCAGAAGGCATTTTTATGTCCATCCCCTATATCAGGAGCCAAGGACACCATAGGTCCAGAAGGGATTTCTCTTTCTTTAACCTCTTCCTGCCCTGGCTCCTCCAACTCCAAGACACTGAGAGCCACCACAGCCCAGCCAGTTTGTAGTCAAAGATTTCAAACACTGAGGCATAACAATTTGGGGTTAAGAAATAAATGCCAATCTCTTAGAAAATAGATGACATCACTTGAAACTAGATTTAAAAAATTCTTCAAAGGCTAGTATGCAACATTAGAAAGTGTTGCTTTTTTAAGACTATTTTTAAATTGACAAAATAACTGCACACATTATACTATCCCTAAGAAAAACTATGGCATTTAGCACCCTGCCCCTGAAACACTCCCTTTGTGTTCCCAAGACTCTTGCCAAATCGAGGGGACACTGCAAACAGACAGGGACAGGACTTCCCAGATAAATATCATCTGAGGGACACTGAGAACTGGGCAAATGTACTATCTGTAGAACCTACCTTCCTGCCCATATGCTAAGTCCGTGAAATACTGGTCATAGATGATGGAACAAGGCAATGATGTCACTGCTTATGTAGTTCAATCTATAAAACCCCTGGGTACAATCAGAGCACCAATAAGTGCTGTAGTCCAGCCAGCTGCCAACAGACACTCGGAATACTTTCTGGTGAATGCTTGTTCAGCCCACTACCACTGGACCTCCCAAAGGGTGCTGCTGTTAAGTATACACTTCTCACAGACTTGCTGGGTGACACCTGTTGTTATGGTTTGTGTCTGGATGTCCCCCCAAAGCCTCATGCAGTCATGGGGTGGGCTTTTAGAATTTATGATTGATCCATGATCCATCGCTGGGATTATGCATGTGAGTGCTACACCCACCCTGGGGTGGATAGTTTGCATATGTAAGGGAGAGCAAGAGCCTGCTTGCTGCCACTCCTCCCTTTTTGCTCTTGTTGCTTTTGCTGTTTTCTGCCACCATGAACAATTGCCCTCTGCTATGTGCCACTCTGCCTTGGAGCCAGCTGAGTATGGACTGAAACCTCTACAAACCGTAAGCTAAATAAACCTTTCCTTCCTTAATTTTGGGGGTCAGATATTTTGTCTCAGCAACAAGAGAAAAGTCCCAGCCAGTGCTGTTGTTGAGTGTGCACGCCTTCTGCAATTTTCCTGAATGGGGCTACTGCTGAGTATGCACCCTTTGTGCACCTTCCAAGTGGAGCTGTTGGACTCCTACCTGCTTCTCCTGGATCTCCTTCCCTGTTGGCATCAATTAACTCTATCCTTGCTGATAATACCCGTTAGCAAACCTTAAACTTTGTCTCTCAAAAGCTGACTCTGAGTACTTTTTTCAGTCTCTCAGCAACCTACTCCACTGTCCCAGGACCCCCGCTGCGGACAACATTCTTGAGGTATAATCTGATAATCTGACACATGTGTGCAATGTGTAATGATCAAACCAGAAGAAAGAGTTGCCTTTGAATAAGGCTGCTTCACGGTGCATGACACATAGCTGGTGCTCATTATCATTTGTGAAGAGGAATGAACTTCAGGACTAGGGAAGCAACAACAGGACATCTGGTACCTGCAACACTTGAGGGTTTTCCTAAAAACCTTGTGCTAAAGGAGGACTTGCGGGGATGGTGGCATGGTCTTGAATTACACAAAGAGCAGTAAGAGGCTCAAGATACGTAGAATAGTGGAATATGCTTAATTAGCTGCACTCCATTTAAGAGCTACCTCAACTGCATCCTAAAAAGACTCACATCCTGCTTTGGCTCAGAGAATTCAAGCTGTATCTGAGGAAATGGAATTTTCACTGCCATAAGAAACCCTTCTCCATAGGCTCTGTGTGCATTTGGGGAAGATCACTCCAAAAATCCTCTAACTCAGAACTGTATCTCACAGTGTTGGGGTTTGAGAAGTGGTGTATATTGTATTCCAGCACTAGGGAGGCTTCAAGGCTAACCTGGGCTACAGAGGGAGGCCTGCACTCCAAAAAAAAAAAACAAGACAAACAATGCTTCTTTCTTCCTAGATTTAAATTTTTTATTGTACCACGTCAAAGTTGTGTAAGTACAGATTTCACAAAAGGCACAGTCCTCACGTCGCATGCCTTAGAGTCACATGTCAAGATACACTAATCTCGAGCCCTATCACAGAGCCAGATTCCCAGAGACAGGGGCTGGCAAAGAGGCATATTTAATAAGCTCCCCAGGCAACTCATCTTCACATTAAAGTTTAAAAACTTTATAATACAAAGAACCAGAATATGAAGAGAAATAGCCAGGGTTTCTTTGCATGCTAGAGACATGTACAAGCCCTGTTGGCTCTCTTGGGCTTCCAATAAAAAACTTTAAAATGGAGGAAAAATACCTAATTCATCATAGTTACTGAGTCAGATGAATATACACTTAAACTTACTTAGAAGGATAAAAGAATGAACAAATACTATTCAACATATGTAGTGAAAGGCTAGGGACATAGCTCAGTAGCAAAGTAACTTGCATGATATGCACAAAGCTCTGGGTTCAGTCCCTAGCACTGCCAAAACAAACCCTATCACTGGGCAATAAGATGAAAAACAAAAAGTTAGAAAACCAAAACATACATATCTCTGCACAATAAAATGAATTCAGGGCCGTAATAGCAACATGTGTACAAAAAGTCCTGTAAGTCTAGAGAGGAAGCTGTGATTAATGCTGTACTAGAAGGCCCAAAACTGTTACAGCAACAAACCAAACATGTATTCAGCAAGGCATATGATTAAAAAAGCTCTGCTGATATGTTCATCCTTGTCACACAGAGATCATATGAAATACAGAAGCCTTACAGAAAATTTACATCTTTATGCAAGCCATATCCAGACTCCAATCCTGTCACCAACACATAAAAAATAACACCTATTTATTATACACTGGGTGCTATAGCTGTGAACTTCCTTTGCTGTTTCAGAAAATTCCCACATTGCCACTCACACAGCCAAAAAAAGAGCTCTAGAAAGTGAAGGGAGCCTGAACTCAAGGGCAGACCTACAATCATGGCACATCTATCTTTTGTTAAAATGCCCATCCTTTTTAAAGAAGATTCTGTTATGGTCAGTCAGCTGAGGACCACAAGACACTCACCAAAGTTAAAGATCCCTTTGTCACACTGATCTGAAGGACATTTTAGGAGAATCATGACAAACAAATGCATTGCAGCACCTTGTTAGAGATATCTGTCAGGTAAGTGTTTACTCTTCTGTTTACTTGTGGTTCTGATTAATAATATGAATAATAATTAGCTAAACATTATTCAGTACTTACTCAAAGGTAGGCATTATGCTAAGATGTTTACACAGACTGTCTCATCAGGTAGATGCTGTCAACTACCCCATTTTACGATGAGAAAATGGAGGCACACAGGTTAAAAAAACTTAACCATCCCTCCATTCTGTCATTCTGTGGCCACACCCCTCACCTGATGTGACTTAGTCATGTCATAAGACTCCCTACCACGCAAGTATCTCAAAATTTCTACCCATAAAATTTCCTAAGTACACAAATGATATGCTAAGTACATAAATTTATGCTAATAAATTTTTAGGAATCTTAGAGTATCAGTTTTTATTTACCAAAAATGCATAACAGGGTTTTCTATCTAATAAATTTTCTGGAATCCCTCCCAGTACCATTTTTCTAACTCATGTACATATGTGCTTAACCCCCTGCTGTGTGCCAGGCACAGGGGTTAAAGAAATGCTCACCCTTCCCCACCTAGGCTCAGTCTCCTCACCTTCAGCTGTTTGACCTTCTCTTTTCAGCATCTGGACAGCTCCTACATATTTCTTCAGCTGGACCTTAAGCACCTCGTTTTCTCTGCAGGTACAAGAATGTTAAAAAAAAAAACATATTTAAAACTTGGCAAGTTAGGCGTGCAGAGGGGCAGAGGAGAGGTCTATGTAAAGAGAAGCACATGACGTGCATCTTATAAATATTAATATAGTCTCATATTTCAGAGATCATCACTGAAGAAAGCCATGTCACCAAGCCATGTTTGTGGAACACCTTTAAGAATTTTCCTTTCAGAATGGGACTAACTGGCCCCACTACCCACAAATTTGGAGCACTACCACCTGAGCTATGCTCAGGCTGTTTGAATCTAACAATCTTTTAAGTGTCTACTCAGTGTCAGGCCTTCTGCAATAGTATCTCAATTTTCAGAAACATATACCAGGCACTCACTGTGCATTTACCTAGGGAATATTTTTACCAACTATCACAGGTATTAAACACTATTTGCCAGGTATCATGTCAAATTCTTATACATCATCTCATTAACTCTTTCCCAGACACTGACACCTCTCCCATTTTATAGATGAGCAAACTAAGGCATATTAAAAAACACATCAGTGGACCAAATCCCCCATTCCAACCTTATATAAAATTATACCATAGAACACAGAACCCAGTCTAAAACAAGAGTCTGCCTCTTGACTCCACTTCCCAGACACGTTGGCTGAGGATGAAATATGAGGATGAAATATGAGCAAAACTATCATTTGTTGAGTATGTTACCATATAGCTTAGACTTTATATGACCACTGACTCATGCATGCATGCATTCATCCATCCTTCATTAAGAAGAAACATATAGGAGAGGAGATGAACAGATAAGGTCTCTGACCAAGGTCACCAATAAGACACAATGCCAAGACCTGAACCCTTGTGTCATTGTCCACCCCACCCCCAACTCCCCGCCACCCAGACCTACAAGAGCTTTTCTCTCTTTGGGACTTCAAACTTGATCTTTCACAAGCTACCCCGAAGAGAGCTGCCTCCCCTAAATTCTGTTTCTGCCCCTCCTTTCCACTTCAGTTCTTATGCTTGAGTTCCTTTAAACAAGCTAGAATCTTTCTTCATGAGTAAAAAAGCTCAAGACTGGGTTTCTTCTGTGGTTGTTTTTTAAAAGGGGGTGTGAAGGACTACCTGGACAGCTCCCCTTGAAAGAAAAGTATTTGGCCCCACCTCTGTGTATTGATATGCACAGAGCTGGCTAGGACTTTTCCTTATCTCCCCTCATTTGGCTTTAAGCAATGCAAATGGGTCTAGCCAAGGTGCTGACCTATAGTCTTTAAAGCAATAGGACAAGTCAGTGATGCCTCACCTGTAGCTCCCAAGTAGCATGTGTGAGCTAGGCGAAGAGACGCCACCCTGCCAACCTCTCGGTTGAGATTGAGCCTCAAGAAAAGAGGTTATGATGTCTCAGGACATGAAGATAACACATCAAAGCTGAAGCACTGACCACAAAACATTACATACTCCCTCAAACTGTTATGCAGATTACACTTTCCGCAGCTCTTGGGTGCTCTCTCTCTCTCTCTTGCTCCATATTGCAGAGAACTATCCTCCTACCTAGCCTGGCTCACAGAGTTTATGTACTTACTTCCCACCAGTCTCACAGTGACTCATCTCCAAGCCACTTCCCTCTTCATGAATTAATAAAGCCTGGGTTCAGCCCTGGGTCAAGGCCTTTGTTCCAGTTAGCCATTGTTCTAACTGGACTTAGGACTCCTTGGCTCCCACAACTACAAATATGCATTAGTGTCTTTATTCTTGCCCTGGGTTGCACTGGAAGTGGTCGACTGGAACGCCAGTAACTTTCCCCTGGGATTACAAATATAAACTTCACCAGACCATGAAGAGGTCCAGGAAGGGCTTAGGGGTTGGGGGGTTGTCACTGCAAAATAAGCAGAACGTAAGTAAAAATCAGCAAAACCTCAATGCCTTTAAATAAATCTCTAATGGATTTTGATATCCATCCTATCACATTCCTCTCTAAGTACATGTTATAGTTTGGCTAGATGTCCCCCCAAAGGCTCATGCAGTCAGAGGCAGCTGGATCTAGGGTGTGTGATTACTAAATTAGCCTACCGATTAGTTTGGCATAGTTCTACTGGGATCAAGGATGTGATGCTAGGATTAAGAGTGTTATATTTAAGGGTGTAAGTGCTACCTGCCCTAAAAGTGGGTAGCCTGGATAAGATAGAAGGAACAGAAAAAGGCTTCTCAGTCAATTGCTCCCTTTTATTGTTTTTTGCCTGCCATGGACTGTTTCCCCTCTGCCATGCAACACAGCCATGGAGCCAGCCAAATACGGACTGGAACTTCTACAAACTGTGAACCGAATCCTTTCCTCTTTTCACTTTGGACATTGGGTATTTTGTCTCAGCAAGAAGAAAAGTAACTGAGACAGTACACACATACAATCTAAATATAATTTTCCATAGATGAATCATCTTTCACACCCTTTAAAACTTTTAGTTTGTTTGGGATCTTATTCCCTAATTTACTGTTCCACTCACCCCTTCCCCACAAGAACCAAGTGCAAAAGTCTGGTAAGTACATGTCATGCCTTATTTTACAAAGTAGGATCATATTATAAATTCTTCTGCAACTAAGTTGTCTCATTTAACAATTCACCACAGAGAGCCACTAAGTCAGTCTACTAATGGATAGACTTATCATTCCTTGGTATACATAAGCAACACATTTACTTAGCTGAAAAACATGGGGAAAGGAGGCTTGGGACTCAATATTTTGTCTATTTTCAGTGCCCCTGACTATACCTCAGCCTTCAAAAGCAGTATTTTCTTTGTATTTTTGCTTTTCTGCACTATATTATGGAAGAAACAGCATCAGTATCAAATGCAGGTACCACTATATACTTAGGTATCACCTGAGCACTCTACTTTCATCTTGGAACATTTAGAGAAAGTAAACCATAAAGGAGCCCCTTCCTCCTAAACAGCCTTTCGTGGACATTTCTATCAGTGTCTGCACTATTTGTCATCTGTGATACAAACAGCAAATGTTTGAAACTAAACAACAGGTCCTAAAAAGATTGTGGGGGCGGGGGGTCTTTCTCCAATGTGCAAAGATTATATAGCATGTTTACTCAAAAACCTTTAACTAGAACCTCATCACCCATCCCAACCTGCTTCCAATTATATGTGAATTCAAGTCACATAATATCTCAACATTACAGAAAGAGAGCAACTTATATACTTTTCTATATGGCATAACTTTAGCCAGAGTTCCCTAGAGAACATTTTTTCAAGAGGTACAATAGGCAGGCTCCACTTAGACCAGCTGCCAAGTGCATTGTGTCAGTGCTTGGCCGCTGTCTCTCATCTCATTTGTTCTCAGCAGACAGGCCAGGCTTCTGCTTCCTTGTTCATCTTCAACTCTGTGGCCAGCACTAAAACATTTCAGGGAGCTGCTTTTCTTTTAGTTTGAATCAATCTTTCAATAGTGTGTTAAGAGTCCATCTAAAAATCGTACCTAATGCAATACCAAGAACTGTAACATAATTGTGATTTCTATCAAAATGATGAGAGACTGGAGTGAATACATCAAACCACTGGATGGACACCTTACATCCAGGAGGAGCTATACATCCCCCCTACAACCGATTTTGTTCCAATGAATCTGTTTCCTTTTATGGGAAATTAACACTTTCAGATATCTCGAAGTCCCTCTTGAATAAAACTCAAACACTTGGCTAGTCACTGACCACTCCAACAGGCACTAAGCTTCAGACCACTAGAAAGGACCAGGTCCTTTTTGGTATTTAATTTATATTTTGAAGAAATACACATTTATAGGAAATTACAAAGATGATAACATGAGGTTTTATATACTTGAGTCCAGTTTCTCCCAATGGTCACATAGTACAGGGCAATGTTACAACCAAAATACCAACATGAGTACTATACTGGTTCCACTACTGTAACTGATGCTCATAATAATCCCTTGCCACAGTGTGTCTAGGATCATATATAGACTTCAATGATCACAGCAGTCAAACAGGCTAGGCCAAAGAGTGAAATAAATCAAGGAAGAGACTTAGGAATCAGCAAACTAGACAGTTCTTATCTCTCACCATAGCTTGGCTTTTTAATGCTTCCCCCCAAATCTTGATGCTGTGGGGAAGTGATGGAAACTTTAAAAGGTGGGTCCTAGTGAGAAGTCTTGCCCACTGGGTAGTGCCCTGGGAAGTGCCCTTACTGAGACCTAAGCACCTTTTCACCCCATAGCCCTGAGGTGAGTGGCTCTGCTCATCATGCACTACCAACCAATATGGGCTGCCTTGCCAGAGGCCCAAAAGCAAGAGGCCAGCCACAAGTACAGTAAAACCTCCAAAACTTCAGCCATAATTAACCATTTTCTTTATAAGATGACTATCTTAGGTATTTGTTATACTAACAGAAAGCTGACTAACATCTGCCTCATGTCAATTTTTTTGTAATTTAGCCTATTACTAGCCCAAGAAAATAACTCCTAGACTTTGGATGATTCATTTGCAACAAGGTAACAAGAGTTTAATTTGTAGACAGAGAAACTATGTAGAATTTATCATTCTTATCATTACTTAGATCTCTGTCAAAATTATCAACTAAAAATGCCTTTTTACTTGACACTTGATGAGTTTAATGGAACTGACCAATCCATTAAATGTTCCCTAAGTATGAAAGCCTTCAGAAACTCTCTGAGTTTGTGTGAGAGGTAGAGGAATGGCTGAGGGCCACTACTATAGGGACCTTCTACCCCAGCATAAGTCTCATCACCAGTAAGGCTATCTAAAATGCTAAGGACAGAAGTGCCCTCACATTTTTTTAAGAGCTTAGAATATTTACAGATATATATTGGATATTTTCAGGATGTGACCCAAGTATAAATATGAATTGCATTTATGTTTCATATGTACCTTATACATATAGCCTGAAGGTAGTTTTTTAATAATATTTTTAGTGGACCAATGCTTTTATTTTACCATACATGGAATTGAAGCCAAGGGTGCTCTAACACTAGTCTAC